CGTGTAGCTGCTGCACTACGTCTATCACGACGACTGGTGCATCGTACGCTACGGGAGAATGGATTGCGCCCGTTTCATTATCAACGGGTACAACAGTTGCTCCCTGGCGACGAACAACTCCCTGGCGCGTCTTCTTTTGTGAAGGTATTTCCGTAATATTTATTTGTTATTTATTTGACTGTGTTGAATATGTTTCTATTAATCATCCTTTAATATACGTAGGTTTCCTCGCGCAGTATCGGCGGAATATTTCTTTCCCCGATCGCATCCTGTGGACGGACGAGGCCACCTTCACACCGAACGGCGTATTTAATTCGCGGAATTTCCTGCTTTGGCAGGAAGAAAATCCGTACGCCGTTCGAGAAGGCGCTTTTCAATATCGTTGGGCCATTAACGTATGGGCCGGAGTAACAGCGAACCGAGTGGTAAGTAGTCGTTTTATTGAAAAAGTTATTTTTTCTGCAGCAGTTTCGTAACGTTCCCATTTACAATTTTCAGATCGGTCCGTATTTTTTCCCACCACGGCTCAATGGCGAAATTTACGCGGACTTCATAGAGAATCAACTCCCAGTGCTCCTCGAAGATGTCCCTCTCCACGCACGGGCAGAGTTGATTTTCCAGCAAGATGGAGCTCCTGCGCATTTTAGCCGGCGAGTACGTAATTTTTTAGACGCGCGTTTTCCGGAAAGGTGGATGGGTCGAGGTGGCCCAATCATCTGGCCGGCACGGTCGCCTGATCTTAACGTGCTCGATTATTTCTTATGGGGCTACGTTACAGATTTGATCGAACATCGGCGTAATGGTACAGAGAATGAAGTACGTGAAGCTATTGTTGCGGCCTTCAATACCATCACGGAAATGGCACATCGTGCGACGCGCAATATTGTACGAAGAGCCGAACTTTGTATACGGGAGGGAGGACGGCACTTCGAACAATTGTTACATTAATTTGTAACAGTGGATTAGGCCTACTGGGGACACCACTTAAAAAAAAACGCGCCATGCTATCTACCGCCAGGTGGTGTGGAAAAGATAGCACTGAATTATAATTAAAATTATTTCTAAAGGGAAGAAACGCGAGATATTTATTTCTCGGTGGCGTACGACACGTGGCGGCGACACGCAAGCGGCACGCTGCAAACAATCGGCGTTCACGCGTCAGATTGCTCCGTCTTCGACTGCTATCCGAAATTCACTGCTAAAGCCTGTTCTACTCAGAGCTGGAAAATCTTGCCCGGACGCACTGGCGTTTTACTCCTTCCATTTCTCATACCGAGATA